AAGACATAGGGGTAGGCAGAGAGTTCATGAATAAAAACCAAATTGCACGTGAAACACTTGAAAGAACTAACTTGTTATTTAACTCCTTAGGGTTTAGCATTTTAAAAAAGAAACTCTTGGTAATAACCACGCAGTCAGTAACATCTCCCACAGACAAAAAAAAAAAAATCAGGCTAGAAAACTCAAAACATCTAAACCAAACTGAAGAAAAGTCCCAGGATTTGAGATTATTACCACAGGATAAAAGTCCTTCTTTATAGGCCACAGTGTAGGAGAAATCAACAAACTCTCTTGGGGAAATTATATCCCAAAGCTGACCAGCAGTAGTGTAACGCATCACACAGCAATTCTGAAACAGAAGTAAAGTAAGATAGTGTTTCTACTGTAGGAAAAACATACCTAGACTTATATACCAGAAGTGAATCTCTAGTAAAGATACTTAAAATGTTTTATTTTTGTAATAATTCTTACAGTGATTCTCTAGAATAGAATAGATCTCTATCCTAAATCCCACTGCTCTATGGACATGAAGCTAGATAATCAAAATATACAGAAGATAAGTCACTCAGTATCCCATCTTTAATGCTGAATTTCATTAATGTAGAATATTATCCTACATAATATGGATTCCATGGGATTAAGGATGTAAACTATCTTAGACTGTTGAAGATAAAAATCCACAAGAACTTTGATGGGTATTTTTAGAATTTTAGGTTTCTAGAACCTTAACTAAAGTTAAGTATGAACAAATAAAAATACTGAAGATTTTCCTATGCAGCTCTGGTAGAGCTATTATGGAAGACAACCTCAGCCCTAACATTCATTAATTAATATGAGGAAATTCAAGCTTTTTCAGAGGCAGCACCTGAGTCCCTTGTGATATCTTTGCTATGACTAGTATTCTCCAAGCAATGAGTGTAAATGTATAGAAATGCTCAGGTTCATGTCCATGGATTTGTGCTCTTCTTCTTACACACACACACACACACACACACAGACATCTGAAATAATGATTCTAAATAGATACCTCTTCAAACTGTTTCAAAATATCCAATGAAGTCATTAGGCGGTCCCAATCCAAGCGGAAAGGCCCTGGGCGTATATGGTCTATTATAGTATTGACATCATCATCTACAACACCTTGGGCTTTGTAGCTGAGGAAAAAAGAAATAAATGCTATCAGAATGAAAAATTTCAGCATGACTTCATAGCTCAAAACTTACTATAAAAATAAAAATGAATGAAAGTGCCCTTCGTCCTCAAATCTAATTAGAGAACTGAAGGTTACCTATGTGTCACCATGGATACAGCAAGTCCTTTCCTGCTGTCAGGTGTGATCAAAAAATACAGTGAATGATTAATTTTTTTTTTTCTTTCTTTTAAACACTCTGCCATCGGCCATGCTCAAAATACCTCCTCCCCCTTTGCAAATGCGCCTATCTCATCCTTCCTGACACTCTGTGAAGCAGTTCTGGAAGTTCTCTTTCATGTTGCTGGTCCCCAGGCTGCCTCCACATCCTGAACTGATTGAAAACATTTACCTTTTATGGTCATTTTCACTCTGGGGAAAAGCCAGTCACACTGTACCAGATCCAGTGAATAAGGTACATGAGGACACCTCATGATGTTTTCACAGGATTCCCTTTCCACTGGATGGATTTCAGTAGCAGCGTTCAGTGTACTTTTTAATATACCTTGTGAAAACGCTCACAAAAGAGGATTTCCAGAAATGTTTCAGAAAGTGGTAAGAACAATGGGGTAAGTGTGTTCAAAGAGAAGGATGAATATTTTGAGGAGGATTCATGGCAATGCAGCATTTATTATTAATAATTTTTTTTAACTTTCAATGAAAAAAAGACAATCCAAAGAGAAGTTGGGTGAGAGACATTCTAAGATTGATCTCAAATGTGAATAAATATACAGAAGATGCACAGCTTCATTAGTACTTGTATACTTGCTAACAGGAAACCACCTCATTCATACCTCTTAGATGGCAAAGATTAAGTACTTGATGTACTAATATTTTCTAAGATAACTGAGAAAAGAGAATATGCAAAATACATGGATGAATTACAGTATTTTATAGACTGCTTTTGTCTGCACAAGGGGTGATCAAAACATGCAGTGAGAGTTTACAATAAGTACTGAGTGGAGAAGGATGAAAACTCCTAAACTACTTGCTACTGTAGAGAGCAATCCGGCATGTGAGGTGAAATGGATGATAGTCATCCCAAAGACCAAAAACCCACATGTGCATAGGAAACATTAATTTAGAGGTGAATACAGAAATATTCTATATGAATAGGGCACAATTTAAAAATCTATCAATAAGCAAATATGCAAACATAAACACACTGTGGCCTATTCATATAGAAGTAAAAGAATAGTTCTATCCATGGTAATGTGGCTAATCTTAAGAAAATAATGTTGAATGGAAAAAATTACAACAGGCAAATTACTAAGTTAGACACCCAAATTTTTAAAAAGGCATATCAGGCAATGCATTCTATTTTTTACGGACAGATAAATGTATGGTCGAAGTATAAAACAAGAACAATACACATAACTTCATGATGGCAATTACTTCTGGAGAAGAAGAGACATGAAATATGAAATAGTTTGATTTCAACTTCATCGGTAACTGTTTTTAAAAAAGCATCTAAAGCTGTTTAATCGCGTTATAAATATCTCAAGCCAAACTTACCAACCCCACCCTAAAGCTGCTCTTCACACCTGCGTTCTCTACATGAAGGTGGGCTAGGAAGAGTAACTCAAAGTAATCTAGTCACACGGACTAGAAATGAGAACTTGGACTCTTTACTCTTAAACCCATTGCCATAATCAGAATTAATCAATCACCATATTTTAATCAAGATGACTTCCCAATATAAAGTGCTTAGAACGTCATCTGCCCCTCAGCACACATCAGTTATGGTTTCCGTCACCACCACTGTGAACACCACCACCAGCGTTAAGTTTCTTTCACTTTCGTTTGCCCTTTTCAGTTCCAGGCTAACACCTGAGTTACGGTGCTCCGTGTCCACCAGGGTACTTCATTAGTTTCTACCTCCTAAGCACACATCCTTCCAAGAATTTTTTAAAAATCATAAATCTCTTCCCAGAAAAGCACAGTTATAAAATTGTGCATGCCATCTGAGAGGAAACCAAGAAGCTGGCCATAGACCTCGGGATAAAAACCCCCTTCTGAGTTCTTCATTACTCACTTCCATCTTTCACAATGTTATTAAAGTAAGCTCAACACGCTCTGAGGACCTGGGGCATGAGAGGAGGGTTGGGCAGAAGGCAAGCAACACCGAATTCCTCGAGGTAGAGTCCAAAAACCGCATACACTCATGCCTTCTCCTCCCAGATGTTTTACACTCCAGCTATACAAACACATTCTGCAAGCGTGTGTACTCTGCGTTTCTGCGGTCCCCGCCATTCCTTCCCCCTGGACTAGGAGTCCGCCCTTCATTCCTTAAAAACAGCTACTCCTCTTTCAAGTCTCAGCTCAAGATATTTGCCTTTCTGTGATGTCTTTTCAGATCTTCACGTATAGTGTTCCCTTGGCACTTTATACTTTCAACCCCACTGGGAACTACTGATCTAAAGGATTAATTTCCACTTGTTTACAACGCCTAATGCAACTCTAGTTTCCTTTATCCTTGTCATAAACATGGTACAGCTCACCTTTTGAAAGTGTTATCTTTCGCATTACCCATCTGACCATTGTGTATATACTAGGTGGGGCCAGCAGCTTCATTTTCAAAAAAAAAGGAACGAGTCTTAAGGATGTGTATGTTATACTCCAATTATGCAAAGCAACTGTCTCTATTGGCTTTAAATATATATATTTCTGTGTCATAGGCATAATTCATTGTAAACTATAAGGAAAGATGAAAAACAGGGAAATAGAAATCATTCACAATATTACTATTTAAGAGTTAAATATTTGGTCTTAAGTAAAAGCCCAATCTTACTAGCAATAATCATTTAGTACCATGTATGCATATGAGGTTTAGTAATGTCTTAAGAACTACACAAAACTGATAATTTACTTACAGATATCCATTAAATTCTTCTGAAGGTTTTCTCCAAACTGTTACATCTTTCTATAAAAATGAAAACATTATATCATAATAAGTACACATGCAGAACCTTGGATACAAAGCCAACAATTCTGTAAGTCTAGAACTCTTGTCTATGCATTAAAATAAAATGTAAAAGTTTCCTATGCTAGAAAGTGATCCACAGTTGAATTTCTTCTATATCACACTATACTTAAGTTACAGACCTTCAGAAAGGATTTTCAGTAGCTTAACAAGGCTCAAACAACGTAAGACTCAGTGATGACACTATCTTAGTGGCCATTATCATTTGCTTCATTCCAGTCTTATCTATTTACAATTACTGATGTATTCAAACTGTGTCATGAGAACATTAAGTATCTCATTCTCAAACTGTTCACAACTTTAAAACAATTAAATCATTCACATTCACTGTATTATCTTCAATTTGTCCCAAATTTTTTTTCTCAAATCATTTCCCAGGAAATTTTGAATATCAGAATAACTAGAGCAGGAGAGCTCCTGAACAGCGAGGACTGGAAGAGTCCTGGCTCCTAGGCTGTGTGTGACACACCCAGCTGTGTAATAGCTCGGGAAAGCCACCATGGGAAGGACGAACACTAAGTGACACCCTTACCACTTCATGCTACGTGATACATCTGACACTATTCAAATTATCAGCTACTATCATTCTTTAAACTGATGATACGTTTTAGAGATGGACTCAAAACGCTGTGCTTTAGGCTCTCGTTGCCGTGAGTCCATCCGTTCAGGTCTGATATCCGAAAGAGCTAACGAAAACATGTCAGCATTGTTACTGAAATGCTTCTTCAACCAATCCTATTTGCACAATTATCTGTCTTGTATATCCATGCCTCTTGTCCCTATTTTTTTGTACCAGTTTGAAAACTAGTAGGGCACAGTGGCACACACCTTTAATTCCAGCATAGTGGAAGGCTGAGGCAGGAGGATTACAAGTTTGAGCTCATCCTGAGCAATTTAACAATTTAGCAAGACTCTGTCTTTAAAAAAAAAAAAAAAAGCTAGAGGGGCTGGGGATTTAGCTCAGCGGCACAGCGCCTGCCTGGCAAGCACAAGGCCATGAGTTCGGTTCTCGGGACCGGAAACCCGCCCACCTCAAGAAAAAATAAAAAGTTAAAATTAAAATTAAAAAAAAGGCTAGGGTTATAGCTCAGTGCAAAGGTCCCATGTTCAATCCCCACTACTGTAATAAAAAGGATGATGAGGAGGAAAAGTTTATCGGCCAAATCATTGGATATTCCTTAAATAGATGTGAAAGTGATAAGTAATTGAACAAATTTACCGTTTTCTTTGCAACTCGCCACTTGTCATCTTCAATGTTATGGTACAGGATTAGGGTGTTTTTAAGTTTAGTCGAAAAAGAAGCAACATCAGGCAGGTGTTCCATTTTTTTCTGTTATACAGACCAAGATTAACATCAGCAAATACTGCAATTTGAAGCCATAGGCAACTACGTCCAAATGTGGCTTCACAATGCACTGTGATGAGGGAGTGATAGAAGATACCTATTACTAGGCTTTACCCTAATTCTCTGAGAGTACGACCACAGCACAAGTTCTTTTCTAAAAGTTCCCAAGATGATTAACTGCCAGTCAGGGACAATAATGAAGCTTTATGACACTTTATTAAAAACACTCATACAAAAGAATAAAGGGGGAGACTGGTGGACGGGGAGAGTGTGTATCTCTTACCTGTATGCTGCTAACACTCAAATATTTACCTCTAATTCCTATCTGTCTAGTGACTTTCAAAGTCCCAGACCCTGAAGCCTCCTTCAGTTCCATTTCATCTCAGGTTGCCTCAGTTTCCTCCTTTTCCTATTGAGTGGTGACTGATCCCAGGATCGGCCGGTCCCCTTAAGGGCCACCCTGGGAATAACCACAGGAACTGCGATGGGGACGGTGCTCTAGAAGTCTCTCTTTCAGAGTCCTCCAGGCTGTCCAAAGAACTCGCCGAGGGACTCAAGTCTCCAGCCACCCGGGACACTTGCAAGATCAGGTAGACCCCTGGCTCTGGTCATCCTCAGAACTGCAGAGGCCTTGGACTCCTGACAGTTTCACGGGGTGGCAGTTGTGCCCTACTCCAAGAAGAATGCTGCTTTTACACCAACAAACCCCGTCTTGTCTGAGATGGGGAAAAGGGCTGTTATGGGTGATACACTGCATCAACTTCAGAAGTTCAGAAGTTTAACCAAGTGACTCAGCAGGGGGCCAGGGTCCTCTCTTTGTAAACAGCCTGAGTCTACGCAAGAGGAGGGCACAGGGATGGTGAGAGCGCCACACCCGCCTGAGGGCGGGTAGGCTGCTTACAGTATAAGAGAGGAAAAGAGGCTGGCTCTCCTTTTTTTTTTTTTTTGCATTTGTTGCTTTTGCTCTCTTCCCCCGCCTTAAACTGTTGCCCCTGTGCCATGCCACCCTGCCTTGCAGCCAGCTGATTACGGACCGAACCCTCCACAAACTGTGAGCTACATAAACCTTTCCTTCCTTGATTTTGGGAGTCCGGTATCTTGTCTCAGCAATGGAAGAGAAGTAACCGCGACAATCGCCTTTGCGAACGGGCTTCCACACTCCTTGAAGGCTCTTCCCGTGATCTGTGTCCCCTTCCCCTTCACTGGCTCCCATGCCTCCCAGCTCCCTTAAAGCTTGTTACTCTTTTCCCTCTTTTTCTTCCCTGTATAATTAATCTATTCCAAAGGCTCTTTTCAGGGACAAATAGCAGCCATCTCTTGGGCAAATACTGGAGAACACCTCCAAACAGCCTTTCTTCTCCACAACATCAGAAAGAAAATTCCCTTAGTTGCCCCTCTCAGCAGGAAGTAGCCAAGAAAAGAAAGACAACCCCTTTTCCCATAACCCTTTAAAGCCAGGAATGACAGAGCCCCAACAGAGACAATGCCAGCTCCAATGAGCCCACCTACCATCTCAGAGAAGCGCAGGTCTCATTTAGAGAAATGTAAGTCACAGAGGACAGGCCAGCAGTCCCCCAGGACATGTCACCAGGTTACAGAGGACACATCAGCAAGCCACAAGCCCATGATTCCTCCAACCCACCCCCCGCCAAAAGCCCGCAAAAAAACCACTGTAACAAATCCTCATAGCCTGTAAGAGACACCTTTTCTGTTCTGCTTGCAAAGTGAGGTCCCTCTCAGGTTTGGCAAAAAACCTGCTAGGACTGTTGAGTGCAATAAGCAAACATTATCCTTATGCAAATCTAGCACAGATAAAACAGTAAAAGCTACCTAGAAAGATGAAAATCTGAAACTTTAAAGTGTATTGGTAATCATTCACACCTACTGATCAAGCTTTTCCAATATGGCTTACGAGCCCTTCTATGTGTCGCTGAAGGAAGTGAATCACGGGGGCACGACCTTGCGACAGCACCTTGCCCCTGGCCCTTCCTCTCTGGCTCCTTCCCTCTTTCTGCTTCCTGTCCACCAGGAGGGGAGCAGCTCTCCCCTGCTGCAGGTCCTTCGACTGCTTCTGTCGCCACAGGCCAAAAAACAATGCAGCCAGGGCGCCATGGACTAAAACCTCTAAAGTCATGATCCAAAATAAACCTTTGCTCTGCTGAGCTGTTTCTGTCAAATATTTAGTCACAGTGGTGAAAAGCTGACCCATGCCTCATTGAGGACAGTAGTGTAACAGGTCGATAATGAAATAAGTAAAAAATCAGAAAGTTCTCTTCTAATCCTTCAAAGTATTTAATCAGCCAGTTAATTCTTGCAGAATTTATTTTAATCAAGAGTAAGTGCAAAATGGAATAATGGGCACTGTCAAACCTGCTGTGTGAAAGGTCCCAAGTGAATATCCCTTGAAATACAGTTTAGAACCAAGAAGGGATAGTGGTGGGTGTATGAAGGTTTTGGCTTTCTCCAAATATAAGAGCACTTAGGTTAATTGAAAGAAAAGCACACAATTCACCCTCCTTCAATCCCCAACTGGGGGAAATGTTTTAAATACCATTCTAAATTGCTACCTACTAATTCAGTCTTTTATTTCTTTTCCTGAAATTCTCCAACTCTAACACATTGTCAACAGGCACTACTTAATCTTATCAGAGTCTAACAATTCCACACAGACTATGTAGTCCTATCAGTCCTGTGATAAAGTGCTGAATAAGGTCCACCTTGAAATTTCTTCTGAAAGTAACTGTTCTGTTTTCCAGGACACTGATAAATGAAGACTACTGAGGACAGAGGGTGCCATCACAGAGCAGGCAATTTTCTCAAGGAAAAAGAACTTCCTGAAGCCATCTCTCAGCAGCATCGTCTTGACCAATCACCTTCAAATATTCTCAAATATATCTCAAAAATGAAACGACAGTAAGTTCTCTTTTAAACATGGGACATTTAAAAGCATCACCTCTAATAAAAAGTAACACAAGCATCTGCACTTAACATGACTAAGTTAGAAAACTGAAAGAATTCACGTATCATAACTGTTTTACCTTCCATTATTGGATTAATACAGTTTTTACATATGTGAATAATTTCCATTAAACATGCCACAGACCTTGTCCAACACAGGCAAACCAAAGCCCTGTAAATTAAATTATATTTTAGTACAGAACAATTTTGGCATATGCTTGTTTTTCAATAAACCTTGGCTGGTAATTTAGCTTTTCAAATTCAGTCAAGTTCAGTAGTTTCGCTTTTGAGACTGACCCTTCCCAGGGCTTGCCATTTAGAGGAATGCGACGTGGAATAATACTTTTGCATGATCTTGTGTTTTGAGTACTCATCTTGATATAACAGCTTTATAAGACTGAGAGTTTCTACCACGTTGAACGCAGCATTTAAATTTTCAGGATATGATGACTTTAATTTTGAGTCCAAATTAGTGTTCGAGTTCTTTACTAAAAATAGTCATTTCTAACATTTACTATCTACTATGCAGCTGATCATTCTGGTGGCTTTATCTTTCATTTCATTCTCATAAATGACCTTCCATCCTGCTGTTATCCTTATATAAGGGAAAAAAGACAACAGGGAGGTCAAGTCACTTGTCTAAGATAATACAGGTAAGTAAGTGACTGGAGCCAAAATTCAGCGTTGGACTTCTGACTTCAGTGTAAAGGTCTAACTTGAGAGAGTGCTGGAAGCTGATCACAGGCTGAAAAAGATTTTCCTTTAAAAAAACAACAACAACAACAACAACAACCCTGACCCCCACAATAAATTGCTTACACTGTGTCTGGCTGCTGAGCCCAAATATCTCAGAAACTGTCTCAAGTGCAAAAGGCAGTGGTTCACCGGGGATCGATCCCCGGGTTGGAACTCCGAGCCCGGACGGGGAACAGCCCTGGGAGAGCGGGTCCGGATCGCCAACATCCCCTCGGCGCGGGCGGCGTCAGCGCGTCTCCTAAGAGCCGGGAGGTGCTGCGCCGCGCTCGGGTCCGGGCTCCAAGGCTTCATCACCGCCCCGTCCCAGTGTAACACGGAGAAACTGAGGCAGAAGCGGGCGCCTCGCACTTCCCCGCCGCGGGCCGCAGGGACCACACAGCCCGCCGAGCACGCCGTCCCGACCCCACCGCACCCCTCTCCCCGCCGCCGCGAGGGCACGGAGGACGCAGCGCGAAGCTGCCGGACGCCTCATCCCTCTACCAGGCCGCCCCGCTCCCGCCGCGGTTCCCCGGCTGCTCCCGTCCGAACCTGAGGCTGCGGGAAGCTCCGAGAGACGCCGGACTCGCCGGTTCCGCCAACACCACGCTGCTGCGGGCCGCTCGGTTTCCCCACCCGCCGGCACCAGCCAATGAGCGTCAAGTCCATGCAGATAGCAGCCAATTGGAAGGCAGCACACGCTTCGGGTCCGAGCGGACCACACCCCCCAGCCCCGCCCCCCAGCCGGGACCCCGGCGCTGCTGAGCCCTATTTAGCCTGAGCACGTCGGCTGGTTTGGATTGGCTGGCGCGGCCGTGTGGGAAGCCCTGATTGGCCGTGGGGAGATGGACCGATTCGGCGCGGCTGTGGGTTGGCGGGAGCCCCGCTGGAGCTCCCGGGCTAGGGCAGTGCGTGGGTTGGGGTCGTTGAGAATGTCGCTACTCAGTTAATCAGAGCAGAACTTGGCAAGGCAGGTAGCGGGCGGGGAGAGGTAGTGATCACACAGTAGTGAGGGTGGGAGTGCGGGATAGGCTGGTCCAAATGCGGTGTCCTGAGGACCCTAGCGTCAGGAGGCTGCGGCTCCCCAGAGACACGTCCAGCGCCCTAGGCGACCTCGCAGGTGACTCCCTTCCCTCCCCTGCCCGGGGTAACCGCGGATGAACGCAGCCGAGAGTCCGATCTTTAGCCGGACGCTTTTCCTGTCTTCAGCTAGAGCTCAGAGGACCACCCTGAGGGGACCCAAGAGGGGATGTGGCAGATGGACTGAGCAAACGACCTCTGCTCGAACATGAGAAACCTTTCTTTCCAGGGGCTGTGAAATCACCAGTCTGCGGGGATTCTTGGGAGCTGTGAATCCCAGACGGAAGGCTGTTTGCAGCTGTAATAAGATACGAAGGAGACCTGAGTTCGATTACCGGTACAAAAAACTGAAGATATGAAGGGAGAAATGCAGTGTTGCTCCATTTTTTTATATACTGGCAATGAGAATGAATAATGCACGAAATTTTAAATTAGTTTTACTGAGTCACCAAACCCCACGTGCTAGCTGATGGCCATTTAAAAACTATTAATTTGTTATTTATATATAAAAGGAATTTGGGGGGAGGTACTAGGGATTAAACTCAAGGTCTTTGCACTGAGCTATATCCTTAGCCTTTTTAAATTTTATTATTGTCATTATTATTCTGAGACAAAGTCTGGTTAAGTTTCAGAGTTGCACAGGCTTGGTTTAAAGTTGCGATCCTCCTGCTTCAGCCTCCAAGAGTGCTGGGATTATAAGTATGCACCACCTTGCCTGGTGAATTATTTATAATTACATGTGGAATGATAATAGAAAAGGGTGTGTGTGTGTGAGTGTGTGTGTAGTAAGTCTCCATTCACTTGCTAGTTATGAGGAGCTAATTATTTGTGGACCTTATTTGAACTGATAAGTAATTTGAGATGGTTGAGAAAAAATGCTTTATATTAAATTGAATATACTTTATAGCTCACTGAATCCACAGAACAGCCCTCTAGCGTAGGCTTTTGTCTGTTTGTTTATAGATATGGAACCTCAGATATAGATGTTAAGGCAGTCCACGTAATTACTGAGTGGCTGCACTAGAATCTGGCCAGTCTGCTGGACTGTAATAAAACTCGGACTCTTAATCCCCACAGTTCTCACACTGTGCTTCGTAGTTCTTTGTCACATACCTGTACTCAGCCATGGGGAAAAGACATAGAAGACCTAAGGTTTACACCGTTCACAGTAGTGAAAAACATTTCAGAGGAGTAGAAACGAACGTTTCTCATTGTTGGGAGTCCACTCTGGGAACATTGTTCAGGAGTTTTGCACATCTTTCAGAGAATTTTATAAAACATCTTTAAAACAAAATTAACTTGGCTTTTTTCTTTGAGAGGGGTCTTGGATAAGGTCATTGCACATTACCTGGGCTTGTGATCTCTTCTCTCCTCACTGGTTCCTGGGAGGTTTCTTTTCCTCTTGTTCCTCTCTTGCCCTTTCTTGGTTCAAATGAAGTTAGAGCAACTGAAAAGCACCCTGTCTCTATCAGAGTGGAATCCTGATGGAGACCACTATGAAGCAGCCCCAAGCAGGACTTAAATTAATCAATTGGCTTTTTATGTTTACTTGTGAATCTGTCCAAAGCCTAGGCTGCTTGTCTGGAAGTGGGCCACAGACTCATAGTAGGTGAACCACTATGAGTCACTGATCTCTACTAAAACCTGTAGTGGCGGATGAAACTGGAAAGCCTCAAAAGATAAGACAGGATCACAGCCAAGGACAGTTGGATCCATCTCAACTAGAAAAAGACTACAGCCTCAGGCATCTCACTCCTGGGTGGATTAATTTAATCCTTATTAAGGTTTAATTTACTACTTTACTTGGAGACGTCCTTGAGTAATTCTGCCCTTCTTGAGTACTCCCCTCCCTTCTGATAACCAAATAAATACAGGCCACCTAGAAAAGGTCTTGGTCTTAGCCCTAAGAGAATCTCAAATTCTGTAAGAGGGCTTTGGTCTTCCTGAAGCCCTGAAATCATTCCACTCACCTCTTTTTAATTTAGCCTTCACCGTGTACTGGTTCAGCAGATTGCAGACCTGATCAGCCCACAATAACTAAGGGGTATTATTAACCTGATAGAATGCTATTAAAACAAAATTGCAGATTCTAGGAAAAAATATCAACTGGAGCTTATTATTTAAAGATTTGCTATGGTCAAAACACTGTACTAACTAAGCATCTTATATATAGTAACTCATTAAATCTGAATAGTAATGCTTCATAATAGGCAAGCGGTATTTTTTTTTTTTTTACTGTATGTATGAGGGAACTGTAGCATGCAGGGCAACTGAAAAATACCCACCTCAAACAATTTAAAGTGGGAAAACAAGTTTTCCACATAGAGTTCAAGTATGAAGAGACAGTGGAACAACTACATGGAGAGATACATGAAAAAGACGGAACAGTTTCCTTGGAGCTCTGACTGTAATTTGACTGAATATTTGAACAGATTCGAAGATTTCCAAGGACAAAGATTTTAAAAAATCAAAACACAGAAATAATATATTCATAATTTCTGACTTATAGGCAATAAATCCAGAAATAAGCAAAATAAAGCAATGTTGGTATATTACAAATGTACAAAAGTTGGTATATTACAAATATACCAACTATAACTTTTTTTTTAGAAAAATCTATTTTCCATACTCTGGTCAAAGAGAAAATTAAACATTGCATACAGAGGAATAATAATAAAATATTTTAAAACATTGACATTAATTTTAAAACCTAATTTCAAAGCCAAGGACTATGACAAATTCTATACTTAAATAAGTTAAACTCAGGAAAATTCATAGCCTTAATTCAATAAATGTTTACTAAATGCCTGACACCTGTGCAGGGTATATTGTGTCTTCAGAATTATTTATTTGCAGATAATAGAAATCAATTTAATTAAGCAAAAAATGTATTAGAAAGACATAGACATATGTTATGAAAATTTGCTGCTCAAACAGTGGGTCACAGAGCAGATATAGAACCACAGAAAACCTTGAATACTCAAAGACATCTTGAACAAAAAGAGCAAAACAGGAAACATTACACTATCTAACTTCAAAATAGACTACAAAGACGAAGTAATAAAAACAGCATGGTGTTGGTATAAGTATAGACACATAGACCAAGCATATAGAAAGAGCCTAGTAGTAAACCTATGCATTACTGCAAATGATTTTTTTCTAGAGGTGCTAAAAGCATTCACTAGAGAATGAACAATATTCAGTAGAAGATACTGAGAAAAATGGGTACTTACCTGCATAAGAGTAAAATAATACCCCTATCTCACCAGTTACAGAAATCAACTCAAAATGGATTACTGGCTTATATGTAAGACCTGAAACTATGAAATGGGAGAAGAAAACATATGGGAAATGCTTCACAACATTGCAAGAGTAAGGCTTTTGTTTGTTTTATTTTTTGGACAAGACTTCAAAAGCATGAAAAACAAAAAAAAACCAGACAAACAGGATTACATCAAACTAAAAGCTTCAACAAAGGAAACAATAGGGGAAGAGACAATTTATAGTAGAATAAGGGAAAATATTTGCAAATTAAACAACAAGTAAAGAATTTATATATATATATATACACATATAATATACAATATATGATTCTTATGGTTTGTGTCTGGATATACAATATATATACACATATAATATACAATATATGATTCTTATGGTTTTTCCCCTCAAAGCTTCATGGGGCGGCTTCTAGAGTTTATGATTGATCCATGGTCCAATGCTGGGATTATGGGTGTGAATGCTACACCCACCCTGGGGTGGGCAGTTTGCATACAATGTAAGGGAGGGGAAGAGGCTTGCTCTTCCAGCTGCTGCTCCTCCCTTTTGCTCTTGTTGCTTTTGCTGTCTTCCACCGCCATGAACTGTTGCCTTCTGTCATGTGCTACTGTGCCTTGGAGCCGGCTGATTATTAATTGAGACCTCCACAAACTGTGAGCTAAAGAAACCTTTCCTTCCTTAATTCTGGGCATCAGGTATTTTGTTCCAGGAACAAGAGATAAGTAACCAAGACAATAATATATGTAATATACTCTACATAGATATATAGATATATAATATACAATATATAAGGAACTCTAAAGCCTCGTTACAAAAAACAAAAAAAACCATAAAGTAGCAAATAGCCAAATTTAAAAATGGGCAACAGATGTTTTGGAAGAGACACTTCTTAAAAGCAGATATGCAAACCAAAAACAAACTATGAGAAAAAGACACTTAAGACCACTAATCCTCTGGGAAATGTAAATCACAGTCACAATGAGATAAGACTTCACCCAGTAAGAGTGGCTAAAGTCATTATAAAAAAGACTAAAGATAACAATGCTGGTGGTTTCGGAGAGAAGAACTCTTGCACAGTACTCTGCTGTCAGGAACATAAACTGATACAGATATTATGGAAAACAGCAATTTTTCTCAAAAAATTAAAAATAGGACTACTATATGATCCAGAAATTCTCCTATGGGAATATAATTCAAGGAAAGCGACATCATAAACAAATAACAAATGTTTGAGGAAGCTGATATATTTA